AGTTTATTCATTGAACACATGTCTATAAAAAAGACAATTTTGTTCCAGTTAATGTAACAGATGTGTCCTTTTGTGCAGAACAATCATTGATCAATTGAACGGTTTTAGCTGTAGCTAGCACATAATGAAACACGCTGATTACTATGCGTTATTGTTCAAAAAAAAGAGAGAAAAAAAGAGGATATTTACTTTTATTTGTCTTAAGATCCGAATACATACTGAGATCAGCCTTGTAACATACTGTAAGTGAATGATAAGTGATGAACGATTATGTTAACACATACGCATAAGTGTTTCGAGAAAACAAAACGCTAATGTAATTTCCCTACTTGAGTTTCCAACTTAGTAGCATCACTGATGAAGAATAATAATTTTTGAATGAAGTGTAACCATATATAAGCGCGAATATAACAATTATCAAACAATAAGCCATGCATACCAAAACCATGTATTCCAATGATGACTAAAAATTACGTATTTCATCACAAGTAGCCCCCAAAAAAATTCCAAATTGAATAACCCCCCCACACACACACACACCCACAACAACAACAACTGTATGTAAAGCCATCTGCAACGAGTAACATTCAGAATTACTGGAAATAGCTCAGTTGTAAGAGGTGTTTTTCTAACGTATTACACTGTGAATAAAAATATGTTTGGTTTCCTTTAAGTTAGAAATGTTAAATTAGGTAGATGAGCACTTGGCATTCATGAAATAATCTTCCCATTATTTAATCAATTTCACAACACTTAAACTTCTAATCTATCAATACATTTGCCCTTTGTGTACAATCGTATTTACTACCTTAAACAATTCTCAGTTAGTACTGGAATTGTACATAGAATTAGAATGTAACGAGGTAAATCACATAAAACAACCGCCCAAGGTTTGGAGGAACGATGCACGACCAGCATTTTCCTAATGCCAAACCTCTGCCCTCTGTTGACACACACTGATTGCATTTGGTCGCTTTTTGATTCTGTGTACACTAGCGTTTACCCGAGGCTGGTAGGAACAGGGTGATAATTTGCCAGCCAAAGTTCACCATCAGGAAGTTTAACGAGCTAACCGTGACGTACACACAGTCCCACATGCACTAGGTTGTCCTGAGGTAATAACTCTCATGCTTCCTGGTTCATTTAAGTTTAACCATTTCCACTTTCAGTCTACTCAGATAATACGCACACGGACGGTTTCCTTGCATAATGAGGAGACTTGTTTTTCTTATTTTTGAATTTTCTGTTGTTTCGGTAGTAAAACTGACAACTTAACATGTAATGAGGTATTGTCACATTTATGCACGCATCGATATACTTTTGAAAAATAACGTTTTATGGATTCTTTGTAGACAGCATTCTTTGTAGACAAAGTTTAGAGCAACTTCTTGTCTCTTCATCGAGTATCATTCATCTTAGGACAGGACGAGATGAAACTCTAAGTTTATAAAGACTACATACCTTGTTTTGCACGAATGTTATGTATCCTTGTTCTTCCAGCTTTTAAAAGCCTCTTATCATGCAAAAATGTTTTAAGGAGACTTAAAAGAGCCTCATAAAGCTTCATCAAAGCTTTAAGATAATTTTATGGTACACATTTGGAGGACATTTTTTAACCAGAAGTACGATACAAGTACCTTTTTCAATGTGTACCATACATTCCCTTGTTTGTGACGGGTGCCATAGATGGGAAAGGATAGTCTCACGTTTTCGCGAACATTCATTTGAAGGCGATTTATAAACGCATGCTTGCGGATATAGTCGGAAAAGTACAAAGGAAAAGTTTCATGTCAATTAAAAATGGGTTTGTCTCTTTCATTTAGACGAACCACATATTCAACGCAGAGGTATTGCGAAAGGACTTCGTTGAGCAGTGACTTTAACTGAGTATAATGGAGATAGCATGTACCTGCACTTTTAATCCATCTGTGCTGAAAATGTAATCTCCGCAAATACTTGTGTATCGTTGCAACATTTCTCGTTACATGTACCGGACGTACGGCTGTGTGTTCCATTTATAAACGAAACGAACTTTGGGTAAAAAATATTTGACTGTATTTTCCGGCATGGTATGTGCATGCAAATGTAATCACTGAATGGGCATGACAAGTTTATAAATATACAAGTACATGCATTATAACATGCGACACGGATTGTGTTGCAATAAACGAGCACATGCTCACTTTGGTGATGATGATCCTATTTGAGGTTGGAGTGAGTGATTGTGAAATTATGTTGCTTTTAGCAATATTCACGAAGTTGGAAACACGATTTGGAAAAAGATGACCTACACACATTGTGCCAGATTTGCGGATCGAGTACCTGTTGAATACTTCAATACCATATCTGCATTACTACTGAAACAAATATATACTCATGATATAGTCACAATTGTACAATCGACTGTTTCTTATGGATGTGGAAAGGGTTTTGTCGCTTCTATTTACAATGAATACACTTCTTAAATGTAAGTTGTATAATGCGATGATTGCAGTCGCTGCATAGCATCATCTTCAGATATAGCAGCTATGTAGAAAAGAAAATGAAAACAACATGAGAAAGTATTTTTAAAAACTACACAGAAGATGGTCATAGTTTTCGCTTATGTTGGATGTGCCTCGCAATAGGTTCTCGTATGGTCAATATCCCTCATTCGTAAGTGGCATGTATATTAGATTGCAGACCTGGTTGACAGTCTGTCTAGCAGGGCGGGGCGTCGCTCCTTATATCAATCACTGGTTTATCGGGAGAAGACTCCAATCCGAGATGACGGCGGCAGCGTTAAACAACATTCACTCATTTGGTGGTAAACAAAATGCTGTATAAAATCATAACAATGTTGAATTATGAGCTCCGTCGTTTAGCGGTAAACAAAATGCTGTATATAATGATAACAATGTTGAATTATGAGCTCCGTCATTTAGCGGTAAACAAAATGCTGTATATAATGATAACAATGTTGAATTATGAGCTCCGTCGTTTAGTGGTAAACAAAATACTGTATATAATGATAACAATGTTGAATTATGAGCTCCGTCGTTTAGTGGTAAACAAAATGCTGTATATAATGATAACAATGTTGAATTATGAGCTCCGTCATTTAGCGGTAAACAAAATGCTGTATATAATGATAACAATGTTGAATTATGAGCTCCGTCATTTAGCGGTAAACAAAATACTGTATATAATGATAACAATGTTGAATTATGAGCTCCGTCATTTAGCGGTAAACAAAATGCTGTATATAATGATAACAATGTTGAATTATGAGCTCCGTCGTTTAGTGGTAAACAAAATGCTGTATATAATGATAACAATGTTGAATTATGAGCTCCGTCGTTTAGTGGTAAAAACAAAATGCTGTATATAATGATAACAATGTTGAATTATGAGCTCCGTCGTTTAGTGGTAAACAAAATGCTGTATATAATGATAACAATGTTGAATTATGAGCTCCGTCATTTAGTGGTAAACAAAATGCTGTATATAATGATAACAATGTTGAATTATGAGCTCCGTCGTTTAGTGGTAAACGAAATGCTGTATATAATGATAACAATGTTGAATTATGAGCTCCGTCATTTAGCGGTAAACGAAATACTGTATATAATGATAACAATGTTGAATTATGAGCTCCGTCATTTAGCGGTAAACAAAATGCTGTATATAATGATAACAATGTTGAATTATGAGCTCCGTCGTTTAGTGGTAAACGAAATGCTGTATATAATGATAACAATGTTGAATTATGAGCTCCGTCATTTAGCGGTAAACGAAATACTGTATATAATGATAACAATGTGGAATTATGAGCTCCGGTAAACAAAATCATTTAGCGTAAACAAAATGCTGTATATAATGATAACAATGTGGAATTATGAGCTCCGTCGTTTAGTGGTAAACGAAATGCTGTATATAATGATAACAATGTTGAATTATGAGCTCCGTCATTTAGCGGTAAACGAAATACTGTATATAATGATAACAATGTTGAATTATGAGCTCCGTCATTTAGTGGTAAACAAAATACTGTATATAATGATAACAATGTTGAATTATGAGCTCCGTCGTTTAGTGGTAAACAAAATGCTGTATATAATGATAACAATGTTGAATTATGAGCTCCGTCGTTTAGTGGTAAACGGAATACTGTATATAATGATAACAATGTTGAATTATGAGCTCCGTCGTTTAGTGGTAAACAAAATACTGTATATAATGATAACAATGTTGAATTATGAGCTCCGTCGTTTAGTGGTAAACAAAATACTGTATATAATCCTAACATTGTTGAATTATGAGTTATATCACTCAGTGGTTAACTTAAAACTGAGATAAAATATAATCTTAAAAACGTTGCAGTATGTGCTCCATCGCTCAGTGGTAAACAAAATACTGCAGATAATCCTAATAATTTTGCATTTTGGACTCCATCACTCACTTAGCGGTAAACAAAATATTGTATATAATTCTAACAATTTTGCTTTTTAAAAAAAGAAATACAGGTATATTATGGCTAATTAATGCAGCTTTTGATGCGTTAAAAACTGCTTCCTTGCAATAAACATCCATATCCTTTTCTCATGGATGTGTTTTCATTGTAACTACAGTGTTACATGCAGACTATGCTTATTATCAAGTTAAGATAACTAAACACATATTAATTAATGGTGTTGTTATACGCGTATCATTTGACAGTGACAGCATAAATTCAGGAAGCTAGTGGGGTAAAGGAGTGTTCTCAGTTTGTAGCCTGTGAGTTCCCGTTCGGCAATGTTTAACAGAGGCGGAGCAGAGTAAATGTTGGGTCCTCATGTCGCCATCGTCACATGGAACATTTGGCCAATTTACAACTTAATTAGTTATCATTGTTATGTGACGGACGTCACAGTAGGGGTCGAGGTGACTTTGCCATTAAATACGTATCGGTTACAGGGAGGCCTGCATTTTGGCGAAGCAACTGAGGCCTGGACCGTTCGTTCTAATAGACGCCGGTAGTGGGAGGTCTGTGGCTTCACGAGGGGCACACTTGCAATACCTTCGTGGAATTAGCTGGTTTTGTGTGTGTGCTTGATGTAACACATTGTTTGTGTATCAAATATTCAGGCACCGGTTACATTGATTCTGAGTTCCAATGAAGGATTTTGTTGTGGCGTTGGTGGTGACGCTGCTGTTCTTGGACAATGTCGGGACAGCCTCGAGCCAGGCCGATATGGTCGGCATCATCGTCCAAGACCCGGGCATGTCCAACACGGTCAGGGACATGGCCATGTCGTCCATGAATATGGTCAAGCAACAGGATATGATGTTCCTGAGAGCAGGTAATGGTATAGTATTATCATTGCACTTCGAGGGTAACCGACACCTCTTTATCAGTGGTTGATGTTGTTAATAAAACTGAACTCTGGTGATGTTCTGACACTCGTTCAGATTGTCCATTCTTGATATTGCTATATTCATTAAAGGGAAACATCGCCATATGTTCATAAGTTAAAGGTAGACTCCTCGGGTTCTTGAAATGTCGACCAACGAATGAACTTCTCGAATAAAATGTATTTAGCTGCCGTGAATTATTTCAATACACAAAACCCTCCTTAGTCCAGAAGCACCGGACATTTGTTCCAGATGATGAGTACTAATAAATACAGTTGATGCATGATCCGTGAAGAAAATCGTAAACGGTATTAACAACAGCAATACCGAAATATGTAACTTGAACACAGGAGAAAAGCAAGTGTCAGATATCACTGAAAGAAATGCTGTTGAGCTCCAAAGGCTTTGTTTTCGAATCAGGGTAATCCGCGATATGTTTCTAGCTTTCTAAGCACCATACAGTTGACTTACATCAAAGTGGCAAACTTAGCTTATGGCGTTTCTCCAACATCAGTTTGACACGCCGTGATATAACTGGAACAGCGTTAAACGCAGCTACCCAACTACGAGTTTACAGGCATGTAAAATACATCTGTTACATCACTTTATTACTTTAAGTAGATCATATACATTTATGGAATGTATTTGTCCATCATTCCTTAATTGTTGAAATCAGAAGGTACCGAAGTAGTGTGATTATGATACCATGGCTTACTGTGTACAACCTTCTCCATATATTTCGTGTATTGATGTAGGTGTTGATACAAAGGACATGACGTCAACGACAGGAATGAAGGCGATGTTCACACCGACCAAGAAGAGGGGGGTAGAGATGGGAGAGGAAGAGAGGGCTAAGAACATGCTCATAAAGGAACTGGCAGGGATGTAAGTGTAACGTGTCTGTCGCAACGTGTTCACACTTGTTTCTGTGTCTGTTCTCTTCTTGTTACGTGTCTGTTCTCTTCTTGTAACGTGTTTGTTCTCTACGTATTGTGTGTTGTCTGTTCCCTTCCTGTTACATGTCTATCTGAACGTGTTAAGTGTCTGTTCTCTGCTAGTTTCGTGTCTGTTCCCCGATGCAATTTATTATTGTTACATGTTCTTTGGGGGTGCAAGTGCATGTGTTTGTGCTGGGTGCCACGGATAATGCAGAGTACGCTCGACATTTCGCGAACAACGTGTATAACCACTACATGTGTTTGATCGTGCTTCATTAGTCGTGCGAATGACCTGTGAAGGTCCGGGTTCAAGTTGGTTTTCAGCAGTCCATATATTTTGTAAGATTGGGATCAGATGGCCCGGCTCGCTGACTAGGATGCAAATCGTGTCAATGAAAAACTTGACTGGGCCAGACTAGGTTTTTTTACAGACCGTCACCATAACGCTGGAATATTGCGGAGTGTGACGCTAAACAAACTTACAAACAAACAAATAGGATATAGTCGGAATCGATCAATAGTTTCTGCTTCCCATTATGGAAATGATATTATTTATGCTATAAATGGGAGAAGAATGTTGGGTCTAACTGACGATATATAATTACAACACCATAACATGTCCTCCAGCTTGAACGTCTCCAAGACCCGGATGGCAAGTGCCGTCAACACCTTGTTGGGGACGCTAGGGGTAGAGGTGCAGGGGCTCGGGACCCAGGACGACAACTGTGACCAGTTCCTAAACATCAGGTGTGACCCCTCCTCCAGATACCGGACTGAGGACGGCAGCTGCAACAACCTCCGGAAACCACTATGGGGCAGAGCCTTCATCCCGATGAGGAGGTTTCAGGCTCCAGAATATGATGACGGTAACTCATCTCTCACTGTATAACAGTACATTATCACCCCTTCACCTAGGGTCCAGGACCCACAATATGATGACGGTAACTCATCTCTCACTGTATAACGGTACACTATCACCCCCTCACCTAGGGTCCAGGCTCCACAATATGATGACGGTAACTCATCTCTCACTGTATAACAGTACATTATCACCCCTTCACCTACGGTCCAGGCTCCCACAATCATGACTAACTCACTGTCACTGTATAACAGTACATTATCACCCCCTCACCTAGGGTCCAGGCTCCACAATATGATGACTCATCTCTCACACTGTATAACGGTACATTATCACCCTCACCTAGGGTCCAGGCTCCACAATATGTAACTCATCTCTCACTGTATAACAGTACATTATCACCCCTTCACCTAGGGTCCAGGACCCAATAAATATGATGACGGTAACTCATCTCTCACTGTATAACAATATGTACATTATCACCCACTCACCTAGGGTCCAGGCTCCACAATATGATGACGGTAACTCATCTCTCACTGTATAACGGTACATTATCACCCCTTCACCTAGGGTCCAGGACCCACAATATGATGACGGTAACTCATCTCTCACTGTATAACGGTACATTATCACCTTCACCTAGGGTCCAGGCTCCACAATATGATGACGGTAACTCATCTCTCACTGTATAACAGTACATTATCACACCTAGGGTCCAGGACCCACAATATGATGACGGTAACTCATCTCTCACTGTATAACGGTACATTATCACCCCCTCACCTAGGGTCCAGGACCCACAATATGATGACGGTAACTCATCTCTCACTGTATAACAGTACATTATCACCCCTTCACCTAGGGTCCAGGACCCACAATATGATGACGGTAACTCATCTCTCACTGTATAACAGTACATTATCACCCTTCACCTAGGGTCCAGGACCCACAATATGATGACGGTAACTCATCTCTCACTGTATAACAGTACATTATCACCCCTTCACCTAGGGTCCAGGACCCACAATATGATGACGGTAACTCATCTCTCACTGTATAACGGTACATTATCACCCCCTCACCTAGGGTCCAGGACCCACAATATGATGACGGTAACTCATCTCTCACTGTATAACGGTACATACATTATCACCCTTTCACCCAGGGTCCAGGACCCACAATATGATGACGGTAACTCATCTCTCACTGTATAACAGTACATTATCACCCCTTCACCTAGGGTCCAGGACCCACAATATGATGACGGTAACTCATCTCTCACTGTATAACAGTACATTATCACCCCTTCACCTAGGGTCCAGGGTCCACAATATGATGACGGTAACTCATCTCTCACTGTATAACAGTACATTATCACCCCTTCACCCAGGGTCCAGGACCCACAATATGATGACGGTATCTCATCTCTCACTGTATAACAGTACATTATCACCCCTTCACACAGGGTCCAGGACCCACGTGCACTAAGCGATCATAACACTAAACCTCCTCTAAGTCCATGTTAGAGTGTGGCAAGTACGATTGTCGTACCGCTAAGATAGCTTTGTGCAAGTGTGCCCACATGTCGGTGATAATCCCGATAATCCAGACTATAATGTTTATCATTTTCAGAGGCAATCCTTAAAATATAAAGAAGCCTTATTTGGGCCGATGAGTACATACAAGTGTCTGCGGCATTAGGGGTGGTAACCGAATATGTGCAGTTGTTAAACCAGTACGTAAACACGTGATAGTTTATGTATTGTTAGAACCTTAAAGAAGACTATAATCGATTTGTAAAGCAAACATACCTTTGCCCTGCCGTAGCGTGTGTTTATAATTGTGGGTCAGGATACGCTCGTCTTTTAACAAATACGAAATATAGTGATAAGTCCCATATTCTCTACAATTCTGACAAAAACAGAATGTGTGCCTGTGAAAACAATGAAAAGCGATTATACAATGTGTTTGTTAAAGGTTTAACGGTAACTATCGTGGATATTTGGATATTTACGTCTCGTGGTTTTGATACTTGTACAGGCGTGTCAGCCCCCAGGGCAACGGGCCAGAACGGCCGGCAGCTACCCGGGGCCCGCACGGTCAGCCTGACGGTTCATGAGACAGACAACAGGGCCGGGTCCACAGCCGGGGCGACGACGCACATGTTGATGCAGTGGGGGCAGTTCCTCGATCACGACATCACCAGCACCCCCATACAGTCAGGTACATGCATATTGACTTGTTCTGGGGTAAAGTTTGATAAAACAGGAAAAGACGAATACTTCTCATCTCATGCTTGGTATATAAGGTAAATAATGAGAACAGTGAAACCTTCTGCTACTACTACAGCAACCACTACAGCAACTACTACAGTAACTACTACTACTACTACTACTACTACTACTACTACTACTACTACTACTACTACTACTACTACTACTACACTTACTACCCGTCAATATCCAGGTTTGATTTTATTCTTCAGTAACCCATGCTTGTCGTAAGAGGCGACTAACGGGCTCGGGCTCGCTGACTTGGTTGACACATGTCATCGTATCCCAGTTGCGTAGAACGATGCTCATGCAGTCGACCACTGGATTGTCTGGTCCAGACTCAATTATTTACAGACCGCCGCCATATAACTTGAATATTGCTGAGCGCGGCGAAAAACTAAACTCACACTACAGCAACTACTGCTACTATAGTTAACTACTACTACGACTGCTGCTGCTGCTACTACTACTACTACTGCTACTACCACTACTACAACTACTGTTACCACTACTGTTACTACAACATTACCTGCACGCACTACAGTAACTACTATTACTTCTACAGTATACTACTACTATCACTACTACTACTACCACCACCACCACCACCACCACCACTACTACTACTACTACTACTACTACTACTACTACTACTACTACTACCACTACTACTACTACTACTACTACTACTTCTACTGCTACTACTACTAAAGGATGTTATGCTGTCTCTCCAGGTGCTGAAGGTTCTAACGTAGGGTGCTGCATGGACGACGTGAGTGCGACCGGCAAGTCCATGATCAATATGACTCCAGAGGAGAGGTAGGAAACATCTCTTTACTTGAGGAAACATGCAAATCTTCATATTTGTTAAACAGTGTAATGGTTTTCATTTACCTTTATAGTGTTGGTTCTATAGCTGTGTATTTTGGCCATGTCGTTACTTTATAACGTGTTCTTTTTTTCAAGAGATATCTGTTTTCCCATTAAAATCGAAGCGAACGACCCAAAATTTCGTCGTAGAAGTTGCATGAACTTTGTGAGGTCAATCCAGATATCTAACACGGACTGTATGGTGGGTAAGTTAAACACAACCGTAGAAGGCAGGCATCACCTGTCCCACTACTTTCAACCAGCATTTACTAAGATCTGCACAAGCACGTCTGAGTTGCGTCGCATAGGCGTGACAGGATCCGCTGGTCGTTCATGAATATTCCAGATCAGGACGGGACCCTTGATCTTAAAGCACAGCGTTGATGCTCCTTGGTGAAACATCGGCATCTCTGAAGGCTTTCGTCAAAACTGAAGCTAATTTGTCCTCCTGTAACATAAACAATTAAACAATCACGTTACACATACATTTCATAAAACGCTTTCCATACTGCCATTTGTTTATATGGTCGCAAATGAATAAAGTGGGGATCTAGAATTCGGTGTTTGGGCTATGTAAGTAGATCAAGAATTGTCATACCTTGTACATTTTAGTACTGTTATGGATACAATCTCTGTGCAGCTCCAGTGGAACAGATGAACCAAATCACAGCTTACATCGACGGCTCAATGGTGTACGGGTCATCTGAAGAGGAGACACGGAACTTGAGATTCTTCAGGGGAGGTACGTCAACTCATTGCCAACTGAATGAACGAACTCATTATAGCTGTACGCCATTGCGTGTCGAATTCTCGTTAGTCGAACCGATGCCCATGTTCCGGCGAAATGCTTGGCTTTTATATAATGTGATCTTCTAGTCGAACTGGATGTGTCTAACCTTAGGGTGTATGGAATATATTGTTGTACAGCTTTTCAACACCTTCACTATGCATGGTAAGATGCAAGTTGTTAGGTATTGAAGATGTATGAGACAGCATACGATGCAGTTCCTGACATCATTTTGTTCAGTATCCCAATTAAAAAGCGACATGTTAAGATGATTTTAAATTATTTTCAAGGTCAACTGAGAACATCACGCAACAATCTACTTCCCGAAGACTCGGAGCCATCATGTCTTAGGACTAGGAGTACCGATTTTTGTTTCAAAGCAGGTAAATGGACAAGCAAAACGTATTCGGTGTTTACCGATCCTGATTCATACTTGTCTAACATTCAAGTTCTAAATGGCTTAGTGTCATGTTCTATAAAAAAATACATTTCACAGTCAAAGGATTTATCGGATATGATAAAACGCTTCCCTAGCTGCTATGCGTCTATTTGTATGGAGACTTTAGGGCGTATCGGGCTAATAATGATGGTCTTTTGTTTTCGAATACAAGTGCAGATATTGTGTATTGTGTACTGTTTCGGTAGTCACCAAAGTGAATATTTATACCATGTCTTCAATGCAATTTAAACACATTTTAATATGCATATATGTTATGGTGAGAGGGGACATCCTTGTCTTACACACAGTCCTATACCACGATTATAGGAGACACACGGGTGAACGAACAGATGGGCCTGGCTACACTTCACACAGTGTGGATGAGAGAGCACAACCGGATGGCCCGGGAACTCAGCCGCCTGAATCCAGCCTGGGAAGACGAGAAACTGTTCCAGGAAACCAGGAAGATCGTAGGCGCAAAGATTCAACATATCACGTATAATGAGTTTCTGCAGATTGTCCTGAATGATGACATAAGGAGACAGTTTGACTTGATGTCCAGGAAGCAGGGTTTCCAGGACCAGTATGATCCAAGCGTGGATCCTAGCATCAGGAACGCGTTTGCAACGGCGGCATATAGGTAGTAGCAATGAGTGGCAGAAATATACACGCTAGAATCCTTTCGCTAGAATTGGTATACTCATATATATACACTTAGGCTGTGAGTATGCGATAAAGGCTTTCTAAAACGAGACCCGTGAAGATCCGGGTTAAAATTGATCTTCAGTAACGGATGCTTGTCGTAAGAGGCGACTAACGGGATCGGGTGGTCAGGCTTGTTGACTTGGTTGACACATGTCATCGGTTCCCAATTGCGCAGATCGATGCTCATGCTGTTGATCAAAGGATTGTCTGGTCCAGACACGATTATTTACAGACCGCCGCCATATAGCTGGAATATTGCTGAGTACGGCGTAAACCTAAACCCACTCACTCACTTACTAAAACGGCTTCGTAGTGCATGTATATTTCATTGATTAATCGCTAACCCTGGACCCGTGATGATCCAGATTAGGGTTAGTCTTAAGCAAAAGGCGACTAACTGGAATGGTTCGTCGGGTTCTCTGACTTGGTTGATGTATGTCATCGTATTCCACCTATCGATCGATGCTCATGATGTCAGCCACTGGATTGTCTGGATCAGACTCGAACAGCTGGAAAATTGCCGGGGCGGTGTTAAACAACAGTCACACAAACTTTATAGCTGTATCGTTGTTGATCGCAAAATTTTCTTTCAAGGTCATTGAAAGACATCTACGCGATTATTCTGAATGATACTTAAGTATTTGTTCTTTAAAGACCTGCAAAACATACTACAGGTTAAGCATCGTAGCTCACCTTCAACTGTTTCAGATTTGGACACTCGCTGGTACGGACGATGTTCTCTCAGTATGGTCGGAACTACCGAAAGAAAGAGGACCTGAAACTAAAATGGAGTTTTGGCAATACTTCTCATATCATCAGGAACAACGGTAATGGCGTGGAAAGATACGTTCGCGGGCTCGTCAGTGACGCCATGGGTGACGCCGATAGATATATAAGTCCCCAGATAACCCAACACCTTTTCGAAGACATAGAGGGCCACAGCCTTGACCTTGCAGCTCTCAACATCCAGAGAGGTCGTGATCACGGGTTGCCTGGTTACAACCAATGGCGGAGGTGGTGTGGTCTTTCAACAGCTAGGTCATTCGGGAGTGGCCGAGGAGGCCTTGTGGACCATCCACCCCATGCAATCAAACAGCTGAAGAGTGTTTACGAGTAAATGTATACTTTGTTTGCTGTTATTATCTTTATAAAGATCTTTATGATCTCTGGTCTGTGTACTAGCCTGTTACTTACCTAAACGTTAAAGATTGTTTCTCCAACATTGACCCAATGCTCTTAAAGAAAATGGTAACCAGAGCTGTATCAACTATCAAACTCTCACCAAATCCTCGATATTTCCGAAATATTTCCCCTCGGTATTAGGTTTGAAACCTTTATCTACTGTTTATCAGGTTCTCTGAGTTGAAGGTGTTGGTGGTGGATATCACAGGGGTAAAAGTGTACCTTTGTTGGGTCCAGGTTAAGTTACGTCTATGGTCAAACGTTTGAAGACAGGTGAACGTATCCCAGTCGTGATGCCATGATGTCTATCACTGGATTGTTTGACACAGAGTTATTTACTGAACACTGCCATATAGGTGGAAAATGTCTATGTGTTTTTACAAGAAACAAACACACCTTTGTTCGGGAGATTTTGAGAACTCCAACCGCCAAGACCAGACGTCCTGGTCAGGTGACCAGATAACGTCAGGACGCCATGTTGTCATGTTGAAATAATAGGTAAAGTGATATGACACCCATGACATTAGGATTCAATGGCCATTATATATCTAACATTTTTCCTTTCAATTTGAAGCCGCCCTGACGATATCGACCTGTTTACTGGCGGCATATCCGAGAATAGGATCAAGGGTGGTCTTATTGGTCCCACGTTCGCCTGCATCCTTGCAAACCAGTTCAAGGCCCTCAAGGTTGGGGACAGGTTCTGGTACGAGAGGAATGACAGAGTTACTGGATTCACCAGAGGTTAGTTCGAAATCAGCTGTTTTTGTAGGGAAACTGACAAACGAGTGCGTGGAAGTTGTTTTACGCTACAGACAGCATGGCAGCTATATCCTGGTAGCCTTTAACGATCGAGTGTAGATCGGGTTTACTAGTGGTTGAAAGCATGAGCATGAAACACCATCAAAACACGATGACCCGTATTTATCAACGTAACAAAGCATGGTCAAAGGAGTTTTATTTGTCCTTAGATTTGATTTGTATTCCTCTTTACGACAAAACCACACATTAAACCACGAATACAAACAGAGTGTGTTTCAATAAAAAGATGAAAAACCTAATGCATCAGAGAAAACTTAATTCGGCCATTGAATCAGCGGTTTGGTGGACACTCGGTTTACTTCAAATCCATGGGTAACCAGAACTGTCCAGAATCGAGAACCTCAGAATCCATTATGGAAATGTTTCACCAGTGTTTGTAGTTCACCTTAACGAAGCATGGTCAATAGATACAACTCACTCGCCACTTACGACATCTGAACAGGCACCCCAAGGGGGCGTAACTGGTGTGGTGTGTCAGTGTCGACGAGAGGTATGGTTTTTGAGTAAAATATCTGATTTTAATAATGGGCGACATTGAATTGCATCACCGTCATTGTTCCTGCAGACCAGGTGAACGTCATCAAAGAGACCACCCTGGCTAAGGTTCTATGTGATAACACAGACATCGGCAGTATGCAACCTGCCGCTTTCAGAATGGTCAGAAACCAGTGAGTACAAGCGTGCATGTTATGATAATCAAAATAACTTCTAATTGCATCATCTAATAGTGAACTAATACATTGATGTAATGCTATGACTTAAGATATACAAACCTAGAAAGCATGCGTTCACAACTCATATTCCGAATTTTAAAAGGATGTTGCCAGACATGAATGGGAGGTAAATTTGTAATGAAGTGATTTTTAAAGAATATGTCATGTATATTTTCTTCATGCAAGTTTTATGAAGGGAATGCATACTTAGGGACCGATCTTGGTATAGTCGGGAAGGCCTGGGAGTTTGCTCTGTTTTAAACCATGCAGATTGTTATTGTGAAACATGGAACTGAACAATATTAATATTTTCACAACACGGTTTGGTCAGGTCATCTTGCAGGGAACAATTTCTTTTGGATTCACCTGAAGATGAATGGAACAAATAGTCTTTTCAGAATATATCCCAGGGCCCTTCCTGAATATCAATAGTCGGTGCCTGAATTCAATTAAAGGAATGGAATAGTTCAAATGTTTTCAATATTCTTAAAGGTATTATGCACGTATATGCATGTTATTGTTCTAATCATGCCTGTACGATATATAATGCCTGTTTATAGGGCTTGTTCTTTTTAATGTATCCTGGAATTGCACGTTGAATGTATTTCCAGGAACCAACGACAGGACTGTGAAGACTTAACTCAGCCCCAATTAATCCCCTGGTCTGAGAACTAAGTCGTCAATATCAACGTATATATCTACTTATATTGCATGCAAATATATAATGGCAAACCATATCAACATCCCCGAAGGACGGATTCTGTAATGAAACTTATTTGCAGAAACCAACGGTTGAGATGTCAAGAATTAACTCAGGCTCCCTTAAACCCGTGGTCCGATGATCCAGCAGGTAGGGATCTGAATGATGGAAATAGCGGAAATGGCAACAACGGCAATAATGGAAATGGCAATAGTGGCAACAACGGCAATAATGGAAATGGTAATAATGGCAACAATGGAAATGGTAATAGTGGCAACAACGGCAACAATGGAAATGGTAATAATGGCAACAACGGCAACAATGGAAATGGTAACAATGGCAACAATGGAAACAACGGTAGAGCATGGAGTGCTTGGGGTCAGTGGAGTAACTGCAACGGTATAATCAGCACAAGGTCAAGGTCATGTCTTCCCGGGTCAATATGTCTTGGAAATGGGTCCCAGAGGAAGCCCTGCGGGGACGAAAGCAGCTGGTCAAGGTGGGGACAGTGGTCCTCATGTACCAACGGGATGCAGACGAGGAGGAGGCGCTGTACAGGGGGGTTCCTGTTGTGTTCAGGGAGGGACAGTGAGGCGAAACAGTGCACAACTCCCCGGGACTCTGGCTGGGGACCCTGGGGGAGGTGGGGGTCATGTACCAATGGCAAGAGATGGAAGAAGAGGGTTTGTCTATCTTCTGTCGTGTATGGACAACCCTGCGTTGGACCAAGTTCAGAATCTCAAAACTGTGGAAACAGGAAATCAGACTGTTCTAAGAGCATTTATAGAATTATTTCTCATTACGTCTGTAAATGAAACAAAAGACGTTTTCTTGATACCTAATACTCGTACAAGTCATTGTTGCAATCTTTTAATGAATTGTAGTAATGCTCTGAATCAAATATGCCGGGTTGGAATGGTTCGCTTCTTGTTTTTTCCGAGTTGTGTGAGTAGGAAAGGGTAATAAACAGTATATCCCAGATATTGTAGAAACTGTGATTTCTATTTTTTCGGTAGAACTTAAATGCTTTCAACTTTCCCGCAAAAACATTAAACAGCGTGATGAATAAGAGAGTGGGTTTAAAAACTAAGATGAATCTTCCACTGAATCAGAACTGACAAGAATCGGGGAACCTCAGGAATCCATAATGGAAATGTTTGACCAGTTTTTCTAGTTCACGTGACCATTACTATATATCACAAGGCTTGGCGGCATTCGCGACCCTTTAGATGGGTGTTGTTTGATATCTGGTGATCGTTACTAAATTTAATACCATATTCTATCCGAACTTTATGCCGAGGTATTGGTAGGCATTCGGTTTACCAAATTTATAAGGAAAAGAAACATTTATGAATTCTAAGACAACCAGATGATCTAAATAGGCATTGGCAAATCAGTGATTATACTGCTTAATAGATAGAAGCGTTGTGACTAAATGCATACAGTTTGAAATGCAAATGTTTGTCAAAGTTATGATGTGTTTTAAAAATCACCAGTGGGTGGTCGAAGGGAAATATCCCCGAACGAACGAACCTCCAAAACTGAAGACCACCATATCCTGTGGACAGGGTTGGGCGTATGCGTACTAGGGCTGTAACGGTGCATCGAACTATCGATGGATTGCGAATGTTGAGTCTCCGATAGCAATTAATTGATAGTAGAAACGAAAAACTATCGATGCATCGATAGTATGTGTGACTATCGATAGTTTAGTAATTGACTTCCGTTGGTTAATGCGCAGTGCAGAATACAGGAAGTACCAGATTCGTTCACTTTGATTTAGAGTTATCCGCCCCGGTTACCTGTTAAACAAACATGACGGAGTTTAAAATTATAAATAACAATAAGTTTATGTTTTATCTGTTTACTTGATCTGGTTTCTTGCCAGTTATCAAAAGAGACACTACTTCAACTTGTTTTATTTCATATGAACTATACATTCATTTTGGAAATGACTTCGAATGAGACAATTCAAAGAGACTGACTGACTGACTGAGTTTAGTTTTACGCCGCTTTTAGCAATATTCCAGCAATATCACGGCGGGGGACACCGGAAATGGGCTTAACACATTGTGCCCATGTGGGGAATCGAACCCGGGCCTTCGGCGTGACGAGCCAACGCTTTAACCACTAGGCTACCCCACCGCCCCAATTCAAAGAGAGAAAAACTATTGCAATAGTATTGCAATTGTTGGTCGCAATAGACTATGCTATCGCAATAGTGCTTTGCAGTAGACTATCGCTACCGCAATAGTTGTTTCCCCCTCAATAGTCACCCCTAATATGTATCGTGGGTTATCGCCAGTACTGTTTAGATACACACAAGTTCGATGATTTAACAAACGTTTGAAGGGAAACCATGAGGGTGACCGACCTGTCAATAACATGACTTTTGAGTTACGTTGTATACTTGGAAGGGGACAAGGAGCGTTTCAACCCTTCACTTGCCCTGCCGTTCCATATGTATTATCAGGGTGTCGTTGTAATAAACAACCATAGCGCTACGACTGAGCATGAGGTCAGAGGCCTGTGTTTAGGTCTGGGAGTTATGATCACTAGCTAGGCGCTAAGACCACTTTGTACAACGGCTCCCTGTTCTTTCGCGTTTCCTACATCCCGCAACTGACTGATGGTTGGCTATGTGGGAACCCGAGATGCAAATATCATCTATGCTCTGGGTGCAGTGTTCAGCACACAACAGAAAATGTCTCCAGGTGTTGTAGGAGTGGAGGTAAACACAGTGTTCCTGCATGGGATGAGGGAAACCCTACATGCATCATTGCAAAACATGCTAGTAGAAAAATAAAATCTCTAATGCTGGTGTCCAGTCCAACTGTATCCTACGTTGATGCTGCTCAACAGAATTTTAATTCCTTTGCAGTCTGCTACAGTGAGTATAGTTTTAAGCCGCTTTTAGCAATATTCCAGCAATATCACAGCAATATATTACACATTGTACCCACGTTGAGAATCGAACTGGGGTCTTCGGCGTGACGAGCGAACGCTTTAACGACTAGGCTACCCCGCCGCCCCGCAATCTGCTAAAACAACACTGGAATCCTGCACTGCTCCAGCGCTTCATCTGACCAGACTGTTTGTTCAAATGTCAGTTGATTGTTATTTAACGCTGCACTAAGGCCATTCGAGCTATATGGCGGCGGACCAGACAATCCAGTGATCAACAGCATGAGCATCGATCTACGCAATTGGGATACGATGACATGTGTCAACCAATTCAGCGCCTGACCACCCGATCCCGTTACGTATTAAGGCAGAATTGTGGGTTCATTGTCACTGACTGTATTGCAATGGATTATCCAATGTCGTTTTGCGTAAAAAGATAATTTAAAACTTATTCTATGACACGTGTTGTTAATTCATATGTCATTTGTATACAAGAAACACGACCACGAAGAATTATCCTTACACATTTTATCTCAACAGTTACAGAAACTAGTGCAAATGGATTCACACACGGCATTATTTATGGGATGCCGAAAAAATAAACACGAAGTACATTTACAGCGCTATTGTTTGCATTTCGCACGTTGGATAACCAGGAATGAGATCGCATATAATTTGCCCAAATGTAGATTACGATATCCTGGTAAACGAACTTGGATACCTGACCAACTGTTACAGCGACTACTGCTGTAACTCACTTGCTGCCAACACTGAACTGTAACCAAGAGTAACGACTTACGGCGGCAAATTTCACCTCACACACTACTGAAAATATGTCAGTGCAAACTGCAAATATGACGGCCCAAGAGCAATATGACTCTCGAACTACTACAAGTATGACAGTGCATGCAACTGAAAATGTGACTATGCATGCTACTGCAAATGTGACCTTGCATACTTTAAAGACATTCTGCGTATGCTCGATATGACGTCTGAATATTCTTCATGTCGAGAACATTTTAAGCAAAACGGATACGTTGCTTCAATGTTAAGTTGTGGTTTTACTGTATGAATGATGACCTAACGATTCTGTTATGTTAACATTTAATTAGAAAGAAAAGTATTTAGATATGTTTATTACGATGACAAATACAAAAAGTGTTTTTAAGCAGCTCTTTGATATCTTTCGCTGAAATTTTATGCATCGCCAACAGAGGTTCTGGCTAACTCAAGTTCCGTTGGAATAATCCTTGACAAGATTCCATAGTTTTTTGTATTTAAACCCTTGCAGCGTAAAACCACATGGAACGAACAGTGTTGAGGATGCATTGCGTCGTCACTGAGCTGATAGTCACCCATACGTCACTATGTTAAATTAATGTCATGTTCCGAAGTGTACATCAAATTTTGTGTCGCAAAAGATCAAAAGAGATCTCAGAGCAAATCTGAATCCAGGGATACGAAAGTTAGTTTTTTTAAGCATTTAAACTTCTGAACATAAATGGTGCACACTTGTGTAAACTGCTAAGGTGAGAAACCAAGGACTGGGTTCAAATCCCGGTTCTCCCCGATTGTTTTAGGTTTCTCAGTTTCATATCCGTGCTGGCAGGTTTCACCAAAGTAGTCAACGTTTGAAACCCGCGTCACCTCGGGCTTTCCTTCTACATCAAGCTGACACTGTAACTGGAATACTGTACTGCATCTCACTCACTCATGCCAAAGGATTTCACTTCAACAGCACACGTGATTATATATTATTCATTTCGTCTTTTTCAAACAACCCGAACGTCTTTTCGAAGCTACCAGGATGTAATTAGTTTCTTCTTTCTCAATGTGTGGGTGGATATAGTTTACATTACTACAGACAGGATCGTGTGTTAAATGTCAGTTATTTTTGGTGAATTTACTAAATGTTATGGTGACATTAACAGATACATGGACTCGCGCTTGAAAATTCTATGAATGACTTGTATCTGTACCCCCTTTCCGAAGTACTACGTCATAACAACAAAAACTATTTTTACCAGTTCAAAAAGTTTAATGTTGCTTTTTAAAGTGGCATTTAGACGCTTGTTTGATGAGGAAGAACAAGATCAACAACTTCTTAATTAAAAGAAATGCGACCTTTCATTGTAGATGCTAACACCGTTACTACCTTGCTTGCTTAATAACGGTGTTAGCATTCACACATATTGAATGTGTGTGTGTTTATGTATGTGTGTGTGTTTATCTGTGGGGATGTGTGTGTATGACTCTACGTGTGCATGTCCCTCTGTGTCTGTGTATGTGTGTGTTAATCTGTGGTGATGTGTGTGTATGACTCTACGTGTGCATGTCCCTCTGTGTATGTGTACTTGTGTGTTTATCTGTGGTGATGTCTGTGTATGACTCTATGTGTGTATGTCCCTCTGTGTATGTGTGTGTTAATCTCTGGTGATGTGTGTGTATGGCTCTACGTGTGCATGTCCTCTGTGAATGTGTATGTGTATGTGTGTGTTAATCTGTGGTGATGTGTGTGTATGACTCTACGTGTGCATGTCCCTCTGTGTATGTGTGTGTGTGTGTGTGTGTTTTATCTGTGGTGATGTGTGTGTTTGACTCTACGTGTGCATGTCCCTCTGTGTATGTGTGTGTTAATCTCTGGTGTGCATGATGTGTGTGTGTGTGTTAATCTCTACGATGTGTGTATGACTGTCCCTCTGTGTGTGTGTATGTGTGTGTATGTCCCTCTGTGTATGTGTTAATCTGTGGTGATGTGTGTGTATGACTCTACGTGTGCATGTCCCTCTGTGTATGTGTGTAATCTGTGGTGTGTGTGTGTGTGACTCTATATGTGATGTGTGTGTTTATCTGTGGTGATGTGTGTGTATGACTCTACGTGTGCATGTCCCTCTGTGTATGTGTGTGTGTGTGTGTTTATCTGTGGTGATGTGTGTGTATGACTCTACGTGTGCATGTCCCTCTGTGTATGTGTGTGTTTTATCTGTGGTGATGTGTGTGTATGACTCTACGTGTGCATGTCCCTCTGTGTATGTGTGTGTTAATCTGTGGTGATGTGTGTGTTAATCTGTGGTGATGTGTTTGTATGACTCTACGTGTGCATGTCCCTCTGTGTATGTGTGTTAATCTGTGGTGATGTGTGTGTATGACTCTACGTGTGCATGTCCCTCTGTGTATGTGTGTGTGTAATCTGTGGTGATGTGTGTGTATGACTCTACGTGTGCATGTCCCTCTGTGTATGTGTGTGTGTGTGTGTGTTTATCTGTGGTGATGTGTGTGTATGACTCTACGTGTGCATGTCCCTCTGTGTATGTGTGTGTGTGTGTGTGTTTATCTGTGGTGATGTGTGTGTATGACTCTACGTGTGCATGTCCCTCTGTGTGTGTGTGTTAATCCTGTATGTGTGTGTTAATCTGTGGTGATGTGTGTGTGTATGACTCTACGTGCATGTGCATGTCCCTCTGTGTCTGTGTATGTGTGTGTTAATCTGTGGTGATGTGTGTGTATGACTCTACATGTGCATGTCCCTCTGTGTATGTGTGTATGTGTGTGTTAATCTGTGGTGATGTGTGTGTATGACTCTACGTGTGCATGTCCCTCTGTGTCTGTGTGTGTGTGTGTTTATCTGTGGTGATGTGTGTGTATGACTCTACGTGTGCATGTCCCTCTGTGTCTGTGTATGTGTGTGTTTATCTGTGGTGATGTGTGTGTATGACTCTACATGTGTATGTCCCTCTGTGTATGTGTGTGTTTATCTGTCGTGATGTGTGTGTATGACTCTATATGTGCATGTCCCTGTGTGTTTGTGTATGTGTGTTTATCTGTGGTGATGTGTGTGTATGACTCTACGTGAGCATGTCCCTCCGTGTGTGTGTGTGTGTATGTGTGTGTGTTTATCTGTGGTGACGTGTGTATGACTCTACCTGTCCGTGTGTATGTGTGTGTGTTGTATGTGTGGTGATGTGTGTTTCTCTGTGGTGTGTATGTGTGTGTATGACTCTGATGTGTGTGCATGTCCCTGTGCTGTGTATGTGTATGTGTGTGTGTGTGTTTATCTGTGGTGATGTGTGTGTATGACTCTACATGTGCATGTCCCTCTGTGTGTATGTGCATGTCCCTCTGTGTGATGTGTGTGTGTGACTAATCATGTCCCTCTGTCTACATGTGTGTGTGTGTGTGTTTATCTGTGGTGATGTGTGTATGACTCTACGTGTGCATGTCCCTCTGTGTCTGTGTGTGTGTGTGTGTGTTTTATCTGTGGTGATGTGTGTGTATGACTCTACGTGTGCATGTCCCTGTGTGTCTGTGTATGTGTGTGTTATCTGTGGTGATGTGTGTGTGACTCTGTGCACGTGTGCATGTCCCTGTCTGTGTGTATGTGTGTGTATGTGTGTGTTTATCTGTGGTGATGTGTGTGTATGACTCTACGTGTGCATGTCCTCTGTGTGTGTGTGTGTGTGGTGTGTGGGTGTAAACTGTGGTGATGTGTGTCTGTGTATGACTGTACGTGTGCATGACTCTCTGTGCATGTGTATGTGTGTATGTGTGTGTATGTTTATCTGTGGTGATGTGTGTGTATGACTCTACGTGTGCATGTCCCTCTGTGTCTGTGTATGTGTGTGTGTGTGTGTTTATCTGTGGTGATGTGTGTGCATGACTCTACGTGTGCATGTCCCTCTGAGTGTATGAGTATGTGTATGTTAATCTGTGGTGATGTGTGTGTATGACTTAATCTGTGGTGATGTGTGTGTGACTCTACGTGTGCATGTCCCTCTGTGTCTGTGTATGTGTGTGTGTGTGTGTGTTTATCTGTGGTGATGTGTGTGTATGACTCTACGTGTGCATGTCCCTCTGTGTCTGTGTATGTGTATGTTAATCTGTGGTGATGTGTGTGTATGACTCTACGTGTGCATGTGTGTGTGTGTGTGTATGACTGTGGTGATGTGTGTGTACGTGTGCATGTCCCTCTGTGTCTGTGTATGTGTGGTGTGTGTGTGTATGACTCTACGTGTGCATGTCCCTCTGTGTTTAATCTGTGGTGATGTGTGTGTATGACTCTACGTGTGCATGTCCCTCTGTGTCTGTGTATGTGTGTGTGTGTGTGTTAATCTGTGGTGATGTGTGTGTATGACTCTACGTGCATGTCCCTCTGTGTATGTGTGCATGTCCCTCTGTGTGTGATGTGTGATGTGTATGACTCTATACGTGTGCATGTCCCTCTGTGTTGTGTGTGTGTGTGTTTAATCTGTGGTGATGTGTGTATGACTGTGTGTGTGTATGTGTGTGTTTACTGGTACGTGTGTGTATGTTTATGTCCCGTGTGCATGTCCCTGTGTGTCTGTGTGTGTGTGTTAATCTGTGGTGATGTGTGTGTATGACTCTACGTGTGCATGTCCCTCTGTGTATGTGTATGTGTGTGTTTATCTGTGGTGATATGTGTGCATGGCTCTACGTGTGCATGCCCCTCTGTGTCTGTGTATGTGTGTGTGGGTTAAACTGTGGTGATGTGAGTGTATGACTATACGTGTGCATGTCCCTCTGTGTATGTGTATGTGTGTGTATGTTTATCTGTGGTGATGTGTGTGTATGACTCTACGTGTGCATGTCCCTCTGTGTCCGTGTGTGTTTATGTGTGTGTGTGTGTTAATCTCTGTGGTGTGTCTGTGTGTGTGTGTGTATGACTCTACGTGTGCATGTCCCTCTGTGTATGTGTATGTGTGTGTTTATCTGTGGTGATATGTGTGCATGGCTCTACGTGTGCATGTCCCTCTGTGTCTGTGTATGTGTGTGTGTGTTAAACTGTGGTGATGTGAGTGTATGACTATACGTGTGCATGTCCCTCTGTGTATGTGTATGTGTGTGTATGTTTATCTGTGGTGATGTGTGTGTATGACTCTACGTGTGCATGTCCCTCTGTGTCTGTGTATGTGTATATGTGTGTTAATCTGTGGTGATGTGTGTGTATGACTCTACGTGTGCATGTCCCTCTGTGTATGTGTATGTGTATGTTTATGTGTGTGTTTATCTGTGGTGATGTGATGTTGTATGACTCTAGGTGTGCATGTCCCTGTGTGATGTGTTGTGTATGACTGTGTGTGTGTGTGTGTGTTAATCTGTGTTGATGTGTGTGTATGACTCTACGTGTGGATGTCCCTGTGTGTTTGTGTAAGTGTGTGTTTATCTGTGATGATGTGTGTGTATGACTCTACGTGTGCATGTCCCTATGTGTATGTGTATGTGTGTTAATCTGTGGTGATCTGTGTGTATGACTCTACGTGTGCATGTCCCTCTGTGTCTGTGTATGTGTGTGTTAATCTATGGTGATGTGTGTGTATGACTCTACGTGTTCATGTTCCTCTGTGTCTGTGTATGTGTGTTAATCTGTGGTGATGTGTGTGTATGACTCTACGTGTGCATGTCCCTGGATAATCCACCTGACGAAGGGGCAAGAACTAGCCCAAAAACATTGTGTAAAATAAATCAAGATGGTATTATCCATAAGATTTGTCTTGTATCACGCGTTTAACGTTTTCCATATTACAACAGTTTGGGATAATATGTTTATGCCTGAATTAACTTGTGCAGTGAATGTGCACATGGTATTGATGGAACTGATTTGTTTGAACAGTTAGGAATATGATTTGAAAGCAAGTGTTGCCAGAGGGGCCTTTACTCACTATGTATAACTTCAGGAAGTACAATATTCAACCTGGTTCCCAGCGACACATGAAAATGGAGTGGAAAGTAATATTATTATATATAAAATTAACGTAGCTATTTTAAAATCTTTATATAATTCTGATTTGCTTACAAACCCTACAATAATGTTAAGTGCCTTGTAGCATGCACTAAAGATCACAAGAAGTATAATTACCAATGGCCAGGTGAACCCTCTCAGTCCCTTTTTAAATCCTGGATCTCGCATAAGGCCAGTGCCCTGTCCCTGAGGGGCGTTGGGGTAGCCTTCTGGTTAAAGCGTTCGCTCGTCACGCTGAGGACCCGGGTTCGTTTCCCCACATGGGTACAATTTGCGAAACCCTTTTCTGGTGTCCCCGTCGTGATATTGCGGGAATATTGCTAAACTCACTGACTCACTCACTCTGAAGTTTTTTGATCATTGTGCTTTCAGATTTTACTTAAAAGCAACAACTCGAAAGGGCTTTTTACCAGTTGATTAGAACTGCATCAGGTGCAGTTCCAAATGTTTAGCAATATGGTCTTTGGCACAAAAAATTAGAAGTATTATACAGATCATCCCACAATGCTTCTTACCCGTTGATAGATCTGCATTCGCTTCTAAACAGTTAGCAGCTAATTATATGTACTTCCGCCAATATACTAAATCGTTACGTCAACAATTGTACTCCGTTCAAACAGCCCTTGTTTATATAAGTCCTCATTGACATGCAGGGTCACTACAGGGAAATGTCTGTTGACGTTACCGGGTTTGACGTTACGTCGGCGTCTTTAGCACGCACTTGTACTATTTGACAGGGGCGGCGAAGTGTAAACAGATCGGCTACTACGCTTCAGGGTGCAGTTTGCAGGGAAACTCTGGCATTATCGTCTGATGGAGGTTATAATGACTGTCGAGTTGACATAAGCATAAAATAGTTGTCCACGCAACGTATTCTCCCATTTGGATTTAACGCGCGTCGTCAGACGTTGGCTAGGCTTGTCAGGGAACGTTGTTCCTGACACGCACGTGTGGACTATTTATGCTGATTCAGTTATCCAGATTCTTTAAAGAGTCGACCGGGTTGTTGGAGTGTATTTCTGTGTTGCTGCTCCGCAGAAAAAACGTCCATTCCATTATTTTTGCTATATTTTATAGATTTGATTAAGTCATAGTGTGTCAATGAAGGATCGCAATCCTGTGTTGGTAGCAGCTGTGCTGGCGCTGCTGCTTCTTGACACTGGGCGGGCACAGTATTTTTTGGGTGAAAATGGTCAAGATCCGATGAATCAGGGTCCAATCGGTCAAGGTCAGTTTGGGCAGGATCAGAACGGTCAAGGTCAAGGTGGAACGGGTCAAAGTCAGTTTGGACAGGGTCAGAATGGTGAAGGTCAGGTGGGACAAGGCTGGACAGGTCAAGGATCTTTTGGACAGGTTCAAAGCGGTCAAGGATATTTTGGGCAGGGTCAAAGCAACCAAGGTCAGTTTGGACAGGATCAAAACGGTCAAGGTCAAGGTGGAACGGGTCAAAGTCAGTTTGGACAGGGTCAGAATGGTGAAGGTCAGGTGGGACAAGGCTGGACAGGTCAAGGATCTTTTGGACAGGTTCAAAGCGGTCAAGGATATTCTGGGCAGGATCAAAGCAACCAAGGTCAGTTTGGACAGGATCAAAACGGCCAAGGTCAAGGTGGAACGGGTCAAAGTCAGGTAGGACAGCCAGGACAAAACCAGAATAATCAAAATCAGAACTATCAAAGTTTTTTTAACCAATATCAGAATAGTGAGGTTGTAGATCTTGGCCAGATAGGACAAAACATCAACCTTGACGACATTGGTCAACAACTTGCTGGACAGGGTCTGGATCTTGGACAGTTAACGCAAACCCTGAATGGTCAGAATGGAAACATCCAAAACGGTCGTCTCGTCAACACTCAGATCGTCAGAGGAGAGTTAACACAAATCCGTGGAACCAACGCATTTGCTATTATTGTAAACAACCCAGGGATGACTGTGATGATCCAAAATATGGCCGTTGCTGCGGTGAATACCATTAAGGAGCAGGATATGATGTTCTACCTGGCGGGTAAACAGGTTTTATTTAATCTTGTATGTAAAAACGTTTCCACAAAGATTGAAACCTATAGCATAGGATTGTTGCTATTGTTATTGAAATGTTTGTACAAACAATTCTGTCATTCTGCCTCATTTTTTATCAATGCAAATGTGAATAGAGCCTTATTGTTTTATGTTGGGAAAATGTAATATTTCTTAATGATAAAACAGCAACAATTGTAACGACTTATCACAGTTTGATATTTGATATATTTTGATGAATAAGAAAAATGAAATGCACCTATTCGGAGGAAACTATTGTAAAACATTTGCTTAAAGCATAGTTCAGTACCATGTTGTAGCATGATGTACAGCTGAATGGATGCCAACTGTAATGTGAAGGACATTCGGAGAATTTGCTTCTTCGTCGAATTCACTTGAAGGAGTAAGAATATACTTCCAGACGTCGTATTCCTCATATTACAGGAGATGACATCTATACATTTCATCTTTATGTGTACGCCATTTAAAGATTAAATGGGCTTGTATACTTGGTTAAAGCCTTCGCTCGTCACGCCGAAGACCCGGGTTCGATTCCCCACATGGGTACAATGTGTGAAGCCCATTTCTGGTGTTCCCTGGCGTTATATTGCTGGAATATTGCTAAAGGCGGCGTAAAACCATACTCACTCATTGTATACTAGGAAAACAAACGGTTCAGGGCTGTACACAAACGTTTGGCATGTAGAATCCCATACACTTCGCTGTTGACATATCGAATTATGATTACGTGCATAGTTACGGGTGAATAAGATCTCGTTACGCCTGTAGTTTTGTTAATGGTAGTTTAAGATGTGCATGGCCATTTATGCAGTGACAGGACCATGACGTCATATAAAACACGTCGCACCTAATTAATGGTCAGGGTATCATCAGTTGTTGACTTAGTGCTAGGGCTGCGCAATATAACCGGTTTACCGGTATTTACCGGTTCAGAAAATGACATGAAAACGATACGTATTGCGATACGCTGATCGAAAACTGGTATTTTGACTTGCTTTCCGAAAACTTCGTAACACTCGGAAATCTTCGGATAATTCCTTGTTTCATGTGTGCCAAATAATATTTACATTTTTATTTTGTTATGATTGAAAGTTGTTATTAAAGCTTAATCAAGCGTATTGTTTTGTTGTGTTTTAGCTTTATAAATCAAGCATTAACTCGATTATAAGTAGTTTTTTTTGTTTAAGAATACTTCATGCAATATATTGCAATACATATCGCATATAAACTTTCGCATCGCAATATTTCGCAATGTGAAAATTCTCTGCAATACCCAGCCCTACTTAGTGCAAACGTAATGAGTGAGTGACTAGGAGGTTGTTATCAACAGGTGTTGACACAACGGAAACGGCATCAACTACAGCGATGAAGGCGAGGTTCACGGCAACGAAGGAGAAGGCTGTTGAGATGGGGAAGGAGGAGAGGGTGAAGAATGTTCTCATGGACGACCTTATTGGCATGTGAGTTGGATGATAAACCATAAAAGCTTTTCCCAATTTAGTTGGTAAGGTCCGTTCTGACGTGGTAAGTGATAACAACAATAACCAGTTTCGAATGAACGAAGATTGGTTATGAATTTATTGATAACTTGTCAGAAACCATGATTAAATAATGTTGTTTTTTTACAATCACTGGATTGCGCATTCTCTTCCCACACAGGTTACTCCTGTCATGTCTTCCTACGAACCTCTGTTCTAATACGGCCTTTTCATGGTGCGAGTGTTCAGGATTCGTGATTGGTTGCAATCAGATTTAGTTGTGCAATCAGCGACGTTGTTTCAAAAGTGATCATGCGCAAGGCCTCGGTTATTTCCGTATGCTTCGGGAAAACTAGAACCTCTTTCCTCGCGCATTGCGCAAACGTTTATTATAGACAGAACTCAGTCATGTAAATGGCGGATCAATGGCGTCTCCATCGCCCTCGTTGACAACGGACAAGCTAGCCATTAAATGTCTTGTGTGTCACATCAACACAAGTTCCTGGCAGAGGAAGGATATTTGTGACCCAACATTTGCTTGTATTAGTCAAGTTGATGTAACACGTGTTCTGATTGGACAGAAAGAAGGGAGATAATTCGTGTTGCGATTTTTTGCCGCTAGGAGATTTTACGAGAACCGGGAAATATGACCGTATTAGAACAGAGGTTCGTAGGAAGAAATGACAAGTAACCTCAGTGGGAAGAGAATGTGGATTGTGTAGACGAGACTCAATTATTTAAGTCAGTTAGAATGTCCAAATAGAATGTACAAAAAACGAAGTGAAGCAGGTAAGAATCGTTGACCGGTGATAAAACCATGAAGACAAGTATGGTACTGACAAAACTGGAAACAGAATCAGGGCAAATTAGGAATTTGAACTCGAGAGTCCAAACCGAACAGCGGATTGAGGCGCCCAACTAACCCATGCAATTTAAAATGGAAAGAGGAATTTTCATCGAGAAAAATACTGCGAGATCAGCATGAAACTGTTTTTGGATGATGATGTTGCTTTAAAGTAACTTTATAGCGAATTTATGGCAGTATCGGTCCATAAAATATATACGATTTTTCACGTGTGTTGCTTTTGTTGAAATGTCTGTCCAGCATGGTGAGATTGTATTTGGTGGATCATTATCGTTGAACTACATCAGTGACTACACTGGGACTACATCTGTCGTACCTCACCCGAAATTCATAAGGTCTAGCGAATAAAAAATATGGGCAAAAGAAATATACAGCTATGCCAACTAAAATAAAAGTAACTGGAAATAGTTACTCTAAATTGATGTATTTAATAGGGCAGCTTTCCACCTTCAGTTTGCAGTGTCTCGGTTAGAAATACGAATGTGTCACAAAATGCAATGATCCCCATCCATCCGTTGCTGCCCGATTACCCTTTTTGGTGGCCTCATCCGACGAGGATATAGTTTCATGGAATCTTCAGAGAGGTGTAATTGTTCATTGTTGTGTTTCCAGACTGAATGTCCCCAAGGTTCAGATGGCGAGTGTCATGGACTCCCTGTTAGGGCAACTAGGGGTCGACGTGAAGGGTCTGGAGACACAGGATGACAACTGCGACCAGTTCATTAACATCGAGTGTAACGTATCATCTCCATATCGCACCATGGACGGCAGCTGTAACAACCTCAGGAAGCCTCTGTGGGGAAGAGCGTTTATTCCCTTCAGGAGGTTTCTAGAACCAGCCTATGACGATGGTGAGTGAATGAGTGAGTGAGTATTGTTGTACGCCGCATTTGGCAATATTCCAGCAATACCACGGCCGTGGACACCAGAAATGGGCTTCACACATTGTACTCATGTGGGGAATCCAACCCAGGTCTTCGGCGTGACGAGCTAACGCTTTAACCATTAGACTACTCTACCGCCCCTACGACGATGGTAAGAGTCGAGATGCATCACATACATGAGTCTGTGATAGGCACGTAGGTATGCTGAACATTTGGCAATACATACATGCAATATACAACTGTGGATCATTCAAGGGGATAGTTTTTGTCAAATGCTGTTAAATTCCTATAATGATCCCAAACCTTATCCTTAAAATAGGTTTACTGCAGACTGCCTTTCAGAACAATATACCAGTCCTTACCTTTACATATTGTTCACACTACTTTCAGTGACTCTTTCACTTATCTCGAAACTTGCCAGCATCACAGGGCATCTAAACCCCTGTACACATTGTCTTATTATGAAGAATATACAGTTTCATAGAGGAGACATTCTAATAATGTCAGTTCTAACTATCACTCCTGCGGACAGAACAAACAGACGGCTGTAACGAACCCCGTCTGTCAAGAAGGGTAAAGTTATTGCTCGTTTGAATAACGAACCCCGTCAATCAAGACTGGTAAAGTTGATGTTCGTTTGAACAACGAACCTGTCTGTTAGGAATGGTAAAGTTGATGTTCATTTCAATAACGAACCCCGTCTGTTGGGAATGGTAAAGTTGATGTTCGTTTCAATAACGAGCCCAGTCTGCCCAAAGTGGTAAAGTCCATGTTCATGTGAACACAGTCTAAAAGGAATGGTAATTTCATTGAACAACCTGTCCCAAACAGGTTGTCTGTTATCAGGCTTAAACCCTAGTATTGTTGGGAAAAGATGACTGTTCGCATAAGTTGAAGCGACGGGTGCATACACTACTCTCCATTACACTGACTGCGAATCAGTGTTTGCGAGACGAGCACATGCAATGTACATTGTCGGTGACAAAAGCAGATAAATAGAGCACCGAAGAGCTACAAAAATGAACGTTTATATAATATCTAAAACAATATTTCAAATGTTTGACAGCGTTTTTCATGAACGGTCATGTACGTATGTACTGCAGGTGTTTCCTCCCCGAGGCGAACTGCTAGGAGTGGAAATCTGTTACCCAGTGCAAGAGAAGTGAGCTTCATGGTCCACGAATCTGATGAAAAAATCGACGTCCAGGCTGCAGCGTCGCATCTGTTGATGCAGTTTGGGCAGTTCCTTGACCACGACATCACCAGCACCCCCATACAGTCGGGTTAGTATACGCATACCCCGTCTTTAAATACACATCACAAGCACCAATATTATATGCAAGTGAATATTTGCATACACGTTTTGAATTAGCCATTCAATCTTTGTAAATGTATCTACAGTTGCTTGGAACTATGAGTAGACTATACCCAGACTGTAACAATTCTGGAAAAAACTGTAATCAGTCTGTAAGCAGGCTCAACCAAAACTGTAATGAGTGCCTTACTAGGTTTAATCAAGACTGTAACCAGACGTTTAAACCAGATTGGAACCAGGCTGTAACCAGACTGTGACATGATGTTTTCAAGAGCTTTCTAGATTTGATTTGATTTAAACATATTTTATTCAGTGAAGAAAGGGATGAGGAACAAGTTATCCAACTTAGGTAACCATCTCCCGAGTATTTACAACATGATAAATATACAACAACATACATGTAATATAGAAAGAAATATAGTACAGAAATGGTAGAGACCTATGTACGGAGATAGTTATTAAGGCATATGAAAATATTTACAGCATTCAAGAAAAACGCTTGCTATTTGATATATAATGCTGAACTGCTTTAAATATTGCATGATTTTGAATATATGATAAGTTCTTGCTGCCATTTAATAATAAATCTAAATTTAAAGCATCATCATGTACTTGTAATTTTAAAAGGTTAAACATTTTCGTTCTGTGTTCGTTATATAGAGAACACTCAAACATGAAGTGACAAACATTTTCTCGTAAATTCCCACATTCACATTTTGAGTCTGACCTAATGCCAACATTAAATAAATCGTAATTCAATTCACTTACATGAAATCTTAAACGAGTATGAATAATATTTTGTTTGCGGATACCTGTAGAAAAATATGCTGGTGCCATGACAATAGGTTTCTTCAAATATGATTTAACCGTTTCTGTTGATAGTAACATTCGCTTTTTTCTAATGGGATATTATTCCATAATACTGTCGTTGGATAAAAGATTGACATGAGTGTTTAAGTCTATATGATGGTCTTACAAAATTTTCAGAGTTTCTAAGGTCATAAGTTGTAGAGTCACGAACAGTCTGAGGAAGTGGTGTATATTTTGGTAAACCAGTTACAATACGGGCTGCTTCCAGTTGTAGTTGTTCTAGATTTCAGTGCTTATGGAGGGAATGGTTTCCTTTACATCTAAATCCAACCCGCATTCCTAACTTATCACAGCCTAATAGAAAAATTATCTGCAAAATGGGGGCGAGCTGTCTAAAGCGCCAGGCTAGTAATCCAGTGAGGTTGAGGTTCCTTGGATCGAGTCCACCTGTGTCCGGGTGTAAAAACCTTGGAGTCAACTTTGTGTGCAGACTCTTTCAGTGTTGTCACAACCCCTAGTGTACAGTACACAACCCTGTGCACTTAAAAGAACCCACGAATCCGTTGGTAAATGACCAGATGGTGGCCACATGAATACGTGCAAACACCTAGTTGCGGGTACAGCAACGTGCAGTAAACTTGGACAAAGTACTGTGACTGTGTGTCCCATTCCACCCAGCTGTGAATGGGTACCTCGTAAGGACGGGAAAGCCGGAATGTACCAATTTTGGCCCTCCAGGTTTCAATTGTGATACCCTTTGTGTATCAGACCATCAAAGTGATCTTCGGAAACAAGTGTACAAACTTTACAACTTCGTCCGATAAATAGTTTACCTACAATTTCCTTTTTTTTAACACAGCCGTGAACATGGCTTCTTTCAACCTCGAGGTTAAAAACGCTATGCGTAAAAAAAATTCAATCTCACCTGAATGTGCATAGCATATAAAGTACCAAAAATGTCAAAATTACTAAAAATATAGCCATATTTTTTAGAAATGTATTTAATTTACGTCTAACGTGGCTGTCACGTGATACTTAAATGTATTTATTTAACTTTAATGTACTTTAGGTCATGAGGTCCTCATACTGAATTAATTCTGTTCTGTTCAGTTCTGAAAGCCGCAATACCTTGGTGCGCCTAGTGGCTGAAAGAGCTGTATGATCCCCAGGGAGTTGAGATTGATAATACGATGTGCCGTTGAGATTGACATCCAATGATCGAGGAAAAAACCCAGCGCCTTGAGCATGTACTAGTTGCGTGGATATGCAATAAAATAAAATAAGTAATTTTAATAAAATGTCTATGATACAGTTATATGTATTTATCAAATGCCGAGGAAAACAAAGAAGCTAAAACTACATGAATGCAGTGACCCGTTATTTATTCCCATATTTTCACTCAGTGCAATACAAGGCTTGCAAAGAAACTTGGAAAAGAATAAAGGAACACTTGTACCCATAATGTGTTCCCTTATTTATTTCCCTCAGTATATAATCATCTTACCATGCTGTAACCATGTATTACGATGTGTGTCAGGTGTCGACGGGTCCCATGTCCGTTGTTGCACAGAGGACCTCAGTGAAGAAAGCAAGGCCAAGATCAACATGAATCCTGAAGACAGGTACACAACCATCAGTGAACCTCATGGTGAACATCATACACTGTCTTTGTAGACACATGACATTGTTGGGACATTTGGGCAACTTGGCAATTTCGAGACCACTCGATTTTAGTCCGAAGGATTGGACAACATTGAATCACTCGATGGGTCTTTAAATGTTGCATTGTAGATGTGTGAGGTTATATGGGGTTTAACGTTGCCTTCGAGAAAAGCCTCACATATAAATGAGTGAGTTTAGTTTTACGCCGCTTTTAACAATTTTCCAGCAATATCACGGCGGGGGACACCATAAATGGGCTTTACACGTTGTACCCATATGGGGAATCGAACCCGTGTCTTCAACTTGACGAAGGAACGCTGCAACCACTGGGCTACCCCACCACCCCTCTCAGTTATAAAGCGGCGTGAACAAGAAAGTTGTTATGAGATCCCGAGGACGTCATCCTCGATAATCTCCTGGGTATGCGTTCCGATAACTCTCCACTACCTGGATGCATCTACGGCTTGGCCCGATGATTTCATTACCTCCCTTGGTTGGCTTTTATCCAATCAGGTGTCTACGATGGGAAGTTGAGCGTACCAATCACAACTCACTTTCGCTTTTTAAATTATCTAACTGATAAAACTTGGCAACACAATAACATATTGGCAGAGGTACTCTGAAAGAGATTGACACTGGCAAGCTCGGTTGTAACGGCGGCTTATCTGATTGGCTACTGTGAGAATGCGGAGCCAGCAAAGGGAGGTAATAAAATCATCGGGCCAAGCCGTAGATGCATCCAGGGTATAGATGAGTTATCGGAACGTATACCCTGGAGATCATCGAGGATGGAGGACGTACACAGGTCTTCATGATGACTGATGTCGCAGTGTACACGCGTTCTTGTATAGTGAAACTGTGTATAAAATAATCGTGTATTTTGTTTGGAATATGATGCGGTTGCATTACAGAATATGGTTATATATATCTGTGGTAATGATCTTCATGGAATCATGGATTCAGTTCAAAGGTACCTTTATAATTTTTCTTGCAGAGATATCTGCTTCCCCATCACTATCCCTGAGAATGATCCTATGTTCAAGCCCAGGACATGTATGAGCTTTGTCAGGTCCATCCAGATATCCAACACCGACTGCAGACTGGGTAGGTAGTGTTTGTCAAACCTGATGATTCGCAAAAACTCTCCCTTAACCAACGGGGAAAACTACCACCGATAAATGAGATAATAAGAAAATTTCATTTCAGTTCATTATTACAGTAATTAGTATATCCTTAACTTCAACTCTTTCATAAACAAATACATTTTCTGAGAACGTACAAGCACATTTGGAAATATCTTAATTTTCATTCGAGAAGTCTCTCAATTAAAGCAATTTTGCTTTGTAGCGGTGGAAATAGGGGAGGATGCAGGTTTATATTGAATATCAATACTGAATGCATATGCTCACATGCAGCAGTTTAAGGTTCTAATTAATATTTGGTAATCAGAATGCTTTCAACTTTCTGTTTAAATGCAACAATTAGTAAATACATTCTCAATGTATTTCAGCTCCAGCAGAACAATTAAACCAGATTACAGCCTACATCGACGGTTCTATGGTGTATGGTTCTTCCTTGGCTGAAATGAGGACTCTCAGAGCCTTTGATAGGGGTGAATGACCTAATTTATACAGCACACATTGTATATATATATATAAATACATTTCAAAATAACATTCTAAATATCTAGGCTACAAGGGACTGTATAATCCTTTTGGTCATGAGCCTACACTTTTTTGTATGTATGAGCTGCAGAACTTGAATACATTTACAGAACCAATTTAGTTTGAAACATATTCACAATGTCCCACCAGTAACAAGAATATATCATATGACTTGCAGCATACAGCCAGTGCGTTTTATGGGAACTATTGACTTTCTTTCCACGTGTTTCTGGCGGGTGTCACCTAGTATCATCATTATTTGATGATGTTTCTTAAACACAAGCTCATGACATAGTCAGAATCGTAAACTGATTCTGCCTTTAGCAGACAGTTCTTGTGGTTGTTAGGATACTCACGGACACTTTACAATAGGGTGTGTTTTACCAACAAGATGTCTGTTTCAAGGCCTGCTAAAGACGTCAGCCAATGACCTTCTGCCGGAAGACAAAGAACCAAGTTGTCGAAAGGAGAGTGCAAAGGATTACTGCTTTAAGGCTGGTAAGTTCGTCTGGAAGACGACAGATAGCTATGAATGGTTCCATTAACACAGGCCTTGGAACAACTTGCTGAGACACACTATGATAGGTTGTTATACGTCTTAGATGCAACACAATCCGTGTTCCTGTTGATGGTGTAACAGTAACATTTCCAAAGCATAAAGGCAATAATTTATGGATGTCAGTATATTCTCACTCCTTCATCAGATGAACATCAACATCTGTATTAATGATTTCTTTGGCGTGCATGTGACAGATAACAGACACGGTTCAACAAATGCTCGTTCTATCTGCAGGTGACACCCGCGTTAACGAACAGATGGCCTTGGCGACCCTCCACACTATCTGGGTCAGGGAACACAACCGTATGGCGAAGGAGCTTGGCAGCCTCAACCCTTCTTGGGATGACGAGAGGTTGTTCCAGGAGACCAGGAAGATCGTGGGCGCCAAGATTCAACATATAACCTATAAAGAGTTTCTGAGGAAGGTTCTCAACGGAAACATTCTCAATGCATTCGATATTAACCCCAAAATTGTTGGCTTCCAAGACACGTATGACCCGAGAATAGATGCAAGCATAAGGAATGGATTTGCTGGTGCAGCTTTCAGGTAAAACCATAAATTATGTATAGATTAATCCAAGTTGTATGAGACCCGTGAAGTTCCGGGTTAGAATTGATCTTCAGTAACCCATGCTTGTCGTAAGAGGCGACTAACGGGATCGGGTGGTCAGGCTCGCTGACGTGGTTGACACATGTCATCTTATCCCAACTGCGTAGATCTATGCTCATGTTGTTGATCACTGGGTTGTCTGGTCCAGACTCGATTACTTACAGACCGCTGCCATATAGCTGGAATATTGCGGAGTGCGGCGTAAATCTAAACTCACTCACTCACCGAGGTTGTATGCTATCTAAACATTTGACAATAGTTGGTTTGCTGGATGGTTGGTTTGTTGTTTAGCGTAGCCTAGTGGTTAAAGCGTTCACGCCGAAGGCCCGGGTCCGATTCACCACATGGGCACAATGTGTGAAGCCTATTTCGGGTGTCCCCCGCCGTGATATTGCTGGAAAATTGCTAAAAACTCACTCACTCACTATACTTAATGACTGCAGGTTCGGACACTCCTTGGTGAGGACCATGTTTTCCCAGATGAATAATGACTATCGAGGACATGAGGACTTGATGCTCAGCCGGAGTTTCGGCAATACCTCCTACGTCATCAAGGACAACGGCGACGGTATCAACAAAATAGTCCGTGGTCTTGTCACAGATAACATCAATAAGTTTGACCGCTACATGACTCCACAGCTGACTCAACACCTATTTGAAGATGGAGTTGGTCATAGGCTTGACCTCGCGGCTCTCAACATCCAGAGAGGCCGTGACCATGGGTTGCCTAGCTACAATGAATGGCGGAAGTGGTGTCAACTTCCGGTGGCTAGAAGTTTTAGTAAGGGCCAGGGCGGACTTGTGGATCTTCCCCAAGATGCTATAGACAAGCTCAGAGATGTTTACGAGTAAGTATATACGTAGATTGATAAAGTGTTCTGAATCTCTCATCAATATATGTCACATTCAGATATATCAAGGAAGTTGAGAAGAATGGAAAGTAATTCTGTCTGTGAAACCATCAATAGAAGTATTTAATACTTAAATAACGAACGAACGAAGCAATGGTGATAAAGTTACATGTAAGATCAAAGTACATGCAACTTACGGTGACTAGGTGCTGTCCGCAGACTTATAGTGTAGCCCCATGGCCTTGATCGCAGCTGTCATTCGGCTGCCTTGCCTAGCTTTGATTTCTTCGAATCCGACATGATGGATCTGAAACAGTGTCGACGGTGGTATCTGAGAAACAGTGGTGATGGTGGTATCTGAGAAACAGTGTTGACGGTGGTATCTGAGAAACAGTGTCGACGGTGGTATATGAGGAGCAGTGTCGACGGTGGTATCTGAGAAACAGTGTTGACGGTGGTATCTGAGAAACAGTGTTGACGGTGGTGTCTGAGAAACAGTGTTGATGGTGGTATTTGAGAAACAGTGTTGATGTTGGTAGTTGAGAAACAGTGTTGACGGTGGTGTCTGAGAAACAGTGTTGACGGTGGTATCTGAGAAACAGTGTTGACGGTGGTGTCTGAGAAACAGTGTTGATGGTGGTATTTGAGAAACAGTGTTGATGGTGGTATTTGAGAAACAGTGTTGACGGTGGTATCTGAGAAACAGTGTTGACGGTGGTATCTGAGAAACAGTGTTGACGGTGGTATCTGAGAAACAGTGTTGACGGTGGTGTCTGAGAAACAGTGTTGATGGTGGTATTTGAGAAACAGTGTTGATGGTGGTATTTGAGAAACAGTGTTGACGGTGGTGTCTGAGAAACAGTGTTGACGGTGGTTTCTGAGAAACAGTGTTGACGGTGGTGTCTGAGAAACAGTGTTGATGGTGGTATTTGAGAAACAGTGTTGATGGTGGTATTTGAGAAACAGTGTTGATGGTGGTATTTGAGAAACAGTGTTGACGGTGGTATCTGAGAAACAGTGTTGACGGTGGTATCTGAGAAACAGTGTTGACGGTGGTATCTGAGAAACAGTGTTGACGGTGGTGTCTGAGAAACAGTGGTGATGGTGGTATCTGAGAAACAGTGTTGACGGTGGTATCTGAGAAACAGTGTTGACGGTGGTATCTGAGAAACAGTGTTGACGGTAGTATCTGAGAAACAGTGTTGACGGTGGTGTCTGAGAAACAGTGTTGACGGTGGTGTCTGAGAAACAGTGTTTACGGTGGTATCTGAGAAACAGTGTTGACGGTGGTATCTGAGAAACAGTGTTGACGGTGGTATCTGAGAAACAGTGTTGACGGTGGTATCTGAGAAACAGTCACCCAATCACTGTATGGTACATTGTGACTATCCATGCAGTGTAATACAACATAAGTCACACAGAGTGAAGTACCGGTTGCTTATCACTACAATACAGTACAGGAGATAGTTACAAAGCATGACATTCTGTTCACCCATCAGTATAATGCGACACAGAACTGAGTTACAATTAGTGATATACTGATTACTTACAAGACGTAGTAACTTTTGTGGCCAACATTTATAACAGTTAAACAAAAAAGTATATTACACATAATGACATCTTAGTGGTCTACCCGCCAACTTGCTGCTGATAAAAGTGTTCTATTCACCTGGTTATTGCCTGAATGTGATAGTTTGTTTTCGAATCCTAGGCACCCTGATGACATTGACCTGTTTGCTGGTGGCATGTCTGAGAATCCCATCAAAGGTGGAATAGTTGGGCCCACCTTCGCTTGTATCTTGTCTCACCAGTTCAAGGCTCTCAGGGCTGGCGACAGATTCTTCTATGATCGGGATGATGAAACCACGGGGTTTAAAAAAGGTAAGTCGCTTTGTATTTCATTGCCATCTGTCAGGAGAGGCCGATAAGGTCGTCTTTATGCGAAGTGTGTACACTTGACCATCCACGAATTCGAATCGAAAGCTTGCTGATACATGCTGTATCTTACTTTAGGTTTTCTTCGCAAATGACTGCATAAAATAGGGTAAATAGAGCTATAAACAGTTCAGTATAATTATTTTCCAATATCTATCAATAACGCCTCATGTGTCATTCTATATACTTGGTCCTTAGGTGTTCCCGCTTTCTTATCCCTGCCCTATAGGAATCTTCTCCCTTGCACCATCGCTCGCAGTCTTATTAACGTTACTGGCAAAAGTTTTACCACATAGTTAATGAATTATACTGACAACATGCCATGCTAGGCTAGGAGTTAGGGACATACATAGTCTTTGTTTCCTCTTGGCATTAATAGCAGGGCGCAGCGCCCGACATTTTTTTTTTGCGCCCTGCTCTTCTGACAAAGTTGTTGCAAAATTCATGTCCGGGAAGAGTGGAGGAAGATGAGACTGAACTCCTTCAGTGTGTTCTTCAAAAGATTTCTGAATACAATAATTGATATCAACACTTTTTACTTTTTTATGTTGAAGTTAGGTGAAAATAATGTGATCTTTGAGCCTTTAACAATCATATGCATGAATAACTTGATCCTTGGAAATCTGTCATTTCATGCCCCTATTGGAATAGGGGTGACCCTTTCGTCATTCTGTGGCCCTGTCCTGTTTAGATCCTGGGGGAAACACTAGGAACATGTAAAGGCATTTCAAAGCTCTATCTGCAGCTTCGGCCAATGACACTTCTAATACTGTGCCCAGGCCTATAGGTTCTAGGTGCTTTCTCGAAAGCTTCTTATCTCTCAACCGACGTAGTTCTGGGTATAGGAGACTGCATCGACAGCCTGACTTCATTCCAGGTAGTTAATCATGGTTCTCCCAGTATCTTTTAACAACACCAAGCACGACTTCTTTGGCTAAATGTTTGACTCTGGATGAAGTGATGTACCCTTGTTTAATTCTTGGGTACAATTCTTGTAAACATCCATCAATGTTTTCCAACCAAGCCTGTACCCATGTGGGGAATCGAACCCGGGCCTTCGGCGTGAACGCTTTAACCTCTAGGCTACGCTAAGCAACAAACCAACCATCCAACGAACCAAATATTGCCAAATGCTTAGATAGCATACAACCTGGATGAGTGAGTGTGTTTAGTTTTACGACGCACTCCGCAATATTCCAACTATATGGCGGCGGTCTGTATGTAATCGGGTCTGGACCAGACAATCCAGTGATCAACAGCATGAGACTGGCCTTGAAGTGGAAAATATAGGTCGAATCAGTGATAGAGACTGAAACTATAAGCTAGGCCATGTGAATGCCGGTATATTGCTTTATATCGATAATGTTTTACAGATATTTATGACAATGATGTACACGTTCCAGATCAAATTAACGCCATCAAGGTGACCACCATGGCCAAGGTTATATGTGACAACACGGACGTTGAGGCAATGCAACCTGATGCATTCTTTGTCGTCAGAAACAGGTAAGTTTCAGATACTAATACGTATTTGTGATGTCTTAAAGGATATAGTGGCACTGGAAATCGAATGTGTGTCCTCATCTGAGTCCAGCGACGATATCTGTCCATAACAACCACCTACCCTTATTAAATGTGTACCAATGTGGGAAATGGAATCCGGGTCGAACCCGCTTTAACCTCTAGGCTAATCTTCCGTGGAAGAGGGGTGTGGATTTAGAATTGACAGCTCTTCCGATGAATTGCTGAAGAGTGAGGCAGAACCAACTGTGCAAAATATTCTTTGTTTGAACATATACACAGCAGTTTAGCATTTCTGCTGTATGAACACATTCGTTACATTTAAAATCTGACGCAAACAGGAGAACACGACAACAAAAAATATATTTAAGCCTAATCGATTTTGCGCAGACGAGATGTGACTGTCGATTCTGTTCTTTTCCAAATATTTCCCCCCCTGGTGTTAATTGGTTCAATTCACCTCAGTGAATTTGATTTTACCTTTGTGCTCTGAACTGTCTGAAATGCACTTTTGGTTGTCTGTCGATTTATTGCCCTAAACGAAAACACCAGAAATACCATGGGCGAAATGCCACTTTGATGATAATGATTGTTATCATTGCTGTTATTTTGCAGGAATCAGCGAGTGAGCTGCGATGAGCTGACCCAGGCGCCATTGGTGGCCTGGGCTGAGGACCCGGATGTCCGGAGGCAGGGATCTCAAACATGGCAAATCAGCAACAGACTCGCTGAAACGAAAAGAAATAACAACCTCGACTGTTCAAAGAGCATTTATAAATTGTTTTCGAAGTACCTTTGTAACAAATGAACTCGTACTGTTCGAAAACCCTTGCCGTTGAGCATTTCAAAAATATATAATATTACATAATAAATGTGCATTTCAGAGAAATTTTGTTATTTTCTGGACGAAATCGATGTTATATACAAACGTATCACAGGTAATGTGAGAAATATGCCTACGATGTGTCATTCGGTCGAAGGGAGGCAACTCTTGTTACCTTCGTCACACATGCACTAAAAAATGTTTGTGACTTCGTGATCTTCTTCATGACAAAATTAGTTCAATGTTGATGTGATTATTGGATTGAAAATTTATTACTTGGTGTGATTAAAAGACGTTTCGACTCACATGTATTGTCCTTTTCTTTTCTTTTCAGTGTTTAAAGAATGAAATCAGTTATACAAAATATCAAATATAAAAATAACCGATGATCACCTTCACTCCTTCAGAATCATTTAAACAGTTCAAAATACCCGTTGGAAATATAAACGAAGAGCATGTAAAATATCCATGGGAAGAACGTAATTGTGTTTAAGTATGTTCTAATCATTTCATTATTAAAACGGATTATCCAAAGCCAAGGATAAGGGAGTGGTGGGGGTGGGGGTGGGTCATATGTTCGCTCGTCACCGAAAATACAGAACAGAACAGAACAGAATTTTATTTCAGTAACAGGCCTCCGGCCCAAAATACATTTACATAAATTGATGATAAGTAGAGCACATGTATATTTCATTTAGATTTGTGTTTCTTGTCAACAAAGTATAAAAAAAGACATACATCCTTGATAATATTAACATTTTTACTCTGTAATATTGATATAAAATTAATAATTGATGGACATTTACTAAAATATTTTGATAGGTACTTATTTCTGATATGAGAATATGCATCACAGATATAAAACACCGAAAATACCTGTAAATGTGTTCGATTCCTTTGACGGGGGATTTAGTAAATCTGATCATTCCCCTACCGTTATATTGTCCTGCTTCTAATCAGCCTAAATCACACAGACTAATACTTATCATGATGATTGCAGAGATATTCTCCAACACCAACCGTTACAATGAATCCCCAAAACGTAAATAACGACAAAACACGCAGGAACAATAGTGACTGACTGAGTGAGTGTTATTTTACGCCGATGTGTGAGGTTAGATGGGGTTTAACATTGCCTTCGAGAAAAGTCGCACTTTTAAGTTTGTGAATGAGTTGGGTTTTACGCCGCTTTAAGTAATATTCCAGTAATATCACGACGGGGGGCATCAGAAATAGGCTTCGCACATTGTACCCATGTGGGGAATCGAACCCGGGTCTTCGGCGTCACGAGCGAACGTTTTAACCACTAGGCTACCTCAACCTCACGCAGAAACAATAGAATATGTTCTGTAGAACAAGCAGGATCATGCATCGTTGCGACAATACAGACACAACAGACTCAAATATGGGTTCCATGCACTTCACTTGCTGACGCCCGAGGGGCGGTGGGGTAGCCTAGTAGTTAAAGCGTTCGCTCGTCACGCCGTGGTACTATTCCCTTCATGGGTACAATGTGTGAAGGTAATTTCTGGTGTCCCCCCGCCGTGACATTGGTGGAATATTGCTAAAAGCGACGTAAAACTAAACTCACTCACTGCAGACGTCCGACACACAGAACCAAAATAACTCCTTGTTGAGATATACTTTCTGGAGTCGAACACAACAGCAACAACGGGTGGTTGTGCACGTAACAAATAATTAACTTGTTAAATACAAATTATCATTCATGTATACTAGGCACATAAAGAAACTGTGCATACAAAAATTTAAAATCTAAATTGATCAAACCTGTGTAGACACATAAGGATTTAAACTCAGAGATTAGTGACATGTATCCAACATGCATGCACGTGCCACGTTCCGTGACGTCAGTGGGTTCGTCCTTGAGACGTGCAATACGTTGTTGCACGTGCATTCCGTGAAAGAGAAACAGAGCAAATGAATGCCACACAATACTGTCACTTTAGAAAGCTCCACCCCTGCCCTTGCGATCGTTCAGCATGCCAAGGCTCACGTCTGCACAACGTCATGAGGCCATTGGGGTGGTCCGTGGGGGGAATGTCTCAACGACAAGTGGCTGCACATTTCCACTGCCACCGGAACACCATTTCTGCACAGGTCAGACGCTACCAGAACACAAATGACGTCATCGATCGGCCACGCTCTGGACGTCCACGTGTAACAACGCCAAGACAGGACAGATGGATAAGGGTGACCCATCTTCGCCACAGGTTTCAGACTGCAGTGGTGACTGCCCGAACCATCCCAGGACTTCGCCGTATCCACCCCAACACAGTTCGACAACATTTACGTCATCACGGGATCAGACCACGACGTCCCGCCATAGGGCCTATCCTGACACAACGTCATCGGCAAGCTCGCCGAATGTGGTGCCGAAATCATGTCCGCAGACCCTTGTTTTGGTGGAGAAATGTTGTTTTTACAGATGAGTCCAGGTTTAACATTTCCCATAGTGATGGACGTCAACGTGCCTATAGACGCGTGGGAGAACGTTATGCACAGGCCTGTGTCTTGGAGAGGAATCGCTTTGGTGGTGGTTCCGTGATGATTTGGGATGGAATAACAGCACGCCAAAGAACTCCTTTGGTGATTGTTCAGGGCAACTTAACTGGTGTGGGCTACAGGGATCAGATTCTTCGACCAGTGGCAATTCCTTTCTGCAACGTCATGGCCCTTTGTTAACCTTCCAACAGGACAATGCCCGCCCTCATACGGCAAGGGATGCTATGGATTTCTTGCAACACCACAACGTTGACTTACTGCCTTGGCGTGCAAATTCACCGGATTTCTCCCCGATAGAGCATGTTTGGGACGAGATGGTTCGACGTCTACGCCGTCTTCCTCATCCGCCACATTACGTCCTTGACCTTGCAACAGAACTTGAGAGAATCTAGCGTGACATCCCACAAGCCTTCCTTGCACGTTTGATAGGCTCTATGCGTCGTCGATGCACTGCTGTTCTCAATGCCGATGGTGGACATACCCGTTATTGAGCTTGTGACATGGTCGTTTGACCCCTGTCCCGCTTGTGGACTCGTGACGTCATTGTGATTGACTTTTCAATTGAAATTCTCCCGACTTGTTATGGTGTCATGATCCCTCCATTAAAGTTTATATGTACCTTTGACATTAGTATCGTACTTATCAACTGGGATAATATTTTGACAATGCACAGTTTCTTTATGTGGCTAGTATATATGTAATACTGAGAAGAAATGTCTCTTTGAAGTTTCAAGGATTTATTGTTCAGAGCACATGGCAAGATAATGTTGTGGAGGCTGCTATCTTGCTTCCTGCCAAAACTTGAACCTTGAAAATTAGGAATGGTATTCGCAAGTCAGAATTACAAGCGGAACCAACTTAATCTGTAGGACTACTACCCTTCATAACAAATACAGAATTAACATTATTCAAATATACAAAAAAGGAACAAACTTGAAATATGGATACTTACATACGCACCACAAAATAAAGATTCCAAATATTATTTTAATTGCTCTGCAGCCCCAAACAATTCCAGCAAGCAATACCCTGAGTGCTGTAAATAACAAATTCAACAAAATCATAATATACTAACGGAAAAAGTAACTGTGCATGACATACAATTTGAAAACTTATAAAAATAAGCCAAAATAAACATGTAGCAAAACACATTGCATGAAATTTGATGTCACCTATCGCGCCTGGCACGTGGACTTCGTGCACAATGAACTTACTCACTTCTTGTATGCTCTTTGAAACCTTAAGTTCACACACCTGATATTGAAAATGAAGTACGGTTGATTATTCTCTAGTCCCTGAATATTGTGGAAAACACGATAAATTCAACCTAAACTGCGCGAACGGAAATTCAGCGTCTCCGCGCCGTGGTATGCTGGAGACTGGATTGGCCCAAAATGAAGTGGCCGGACAGTTTGCTGTTCAACGAAACACGATCGCATCTCTATGGAGACGTTTTCAACATAATGGAAACACGAAAGATTTGCCTCGGAACGGCCGTCCACGCGTGACTTCACGTCAGCAAGACAACCACATTCGGCTGACCCATCTAAGGAATCGATTCCAGACTGCAAGTTTAAATGCTCGGACCATTCCTGGCTTTCGTCCAATCAGTTCCAGGACTGTCGGGAACTGACTGAGGGAGCACTACATCCGGCCCCAAAGGCCGGCAATACGTCCAGTTATGCTCCAACGTCAACGACAGGCACATATTGCCTGGTGCAGACATCATCTACGGTACAGGAGACACGATTTGGATGGTGTTTTGTTCATTGATGAGTCGAGATTTCATCTGGACAGCTCAGATGGTAGGGCAAGGGTATACAGACGGCGAGGTGAACGCGTCAATGGCAATCTGACAGGCCTGCGATACAGAGATCAGTGGACCTCATGGCAGCCGTTCATTCAAGGACAGAGACGTAACTTCACGCTTCAGGAAGATAATGTCGCTCGTGTTGTGACAGATTTCCTGAGACAGCAAAACATTCCGGTACTCCCCTGGGTAGTTGTTTCTCCAGACCACTATAGAGCATGCTTGGGATAAAATGGAGAGACGTTTACGTCAAGCCAAGAATCAGCCATTGACGTTAGCTGAATTGGGTCAAGCGTTGGTCAAACGTGGAACAACATTCCAGAGCTTTCTTCAATCGATTAGTGTCGTCTATGCGTCGTCGTTGTCAAGACTGCATCAACACCAATCAAGGAAAACACCAGAAATCGTGTTATTATAGTTTGGCATTAAAAATGGCATAACATCAAATAATGCACAGTTACTTTATTCCAGTAATATATGAAGTTCTTCATCCCTAAACGCACAGCAGACAATGCTTAAACCTTCGTTATATATGGGGTATTAAAACGCTCTGAACTCAGCAATTATAGGGAGAGAACATGAATAAATCAAACATCATTAAGTACCCCAAAATGCAAAGCCCCCTATCCAGGAAGGATAACCCATGTTACAGCGACATACCGCTCTGAAAACGTTTCCAGCAAATTTCTACTTCAAGCGAAGGAAAGGTTTCCTACATATACTGATTCATATCCACATACAAAACTACAGTATTTGGCTATAAGTGATTCATCATAAATAAAATTCCCATAGACTTACAAGAACTTTTTTCATAAATATAGTTTCGGTCGAACTGCTTTCAATATTTATCTACCAGCTGGGAAATGAAATCCTCTCAGCTACAAACACATAATTTCCATTCAATTTTCCGATGATTATTCAGAAAACTGCAACTATTTAATCAACATATATTAGACATACCAGTCAGGTTTA